CTGGACAGAACCAACGCCACTGTATGGGTTCCCCTCAAGTGGACAGAACCAACGCCACTGTATGGGTTCCCCTCAAGTGGACAGAACCAACGCCACTGTGTGGGGTCCCCTCACCTGGACAGAACCAACGCCACTGTATGGGTTCCCCTCAAGTGGACAGAACCAACGCCACTGTATGGGGTCCCCTCACCTGGACAGAAACAACGCCATGGTGTGGGTTCCCCTTCAGTCAGACTGAACTAATGCTGCGGTGTAGGTTCCCTCTACCGGACCAACGCTGCCACTGTGTTTCTGCATAAATGTTGAGTTTTTCTTCTGTTGTTCCTTTTAAGCCGCTCTGCTAAAATTAAGATGTTCGTTGTGGAAGACTTCCTGAGATCTTCCACCTTGGTCAGAGTTCCTGAAGGTTATCATTTGGACTTTGGCAGCTTTTCAGGAGCTTCAGATGTTTTTCTTTTTAAGCCGATTTAAATGGAAAGCATTAGTTCGTTTAGGGATTGAATGCTGGCTGATTTTATAACCATGGTCAGAGGAGTCGCCCCCTGCTGGCCAATAGAGGGACTGGAACTGGTTCAGTTCAGCATGAAGCCTGATGGCAAACATGGAGGAACACAGACTCTGAAGGTCGCTCTGAAGCGCCTCCATCGCCTTGGAGATTCAGGTTGGTAGGGATGTTCAGGAGGTTATTGAAATGTGACTGAATCCAGTCAGATGTTTGGATCAACAAGGTTCTGTCACCTATAAAGAACCAAACCCTTGAGAAACGGATTATTGAGATTAAGTTCAGCCCTTTTTATATCAAAATGTTACATGTGAGAACAAGTTCTGGTTCTGGTGACGTGTCCAAACTAAAGTCCATGGAAAGATGTTTTCTTCATTCTTAATTTCAGTCCAGGAAACCTTTAGCAGCTGAAACTCAGAAGGTTCTATCAGCTGGACTGGTTTGCCATCAGACTGAACCGTTGACGTCAGCTAATGACATCCTGACTTCTCGTTTCGGAACCGGTTCCGTCTCCTTCAGCCCAAATGGGTTTCAGAATGAAGAGCTGGAGGAAAAGTATTCAGATATTCAACAGGACCATCAGAACCAGCAACGGCCTCTTCAACAGGAGAGCTGGATAACTTTAACATCATCGTTTTCAGGACAAGTCAGCATATAAATCAGTAGACAAACCGGTTCAGAACCATTACACGTGGGTTATAATGGACCCTTATGTTGCAGTTTTAGTGTCTGCAGATCCATCTGAGACTGTCAGAGATCTGCTGAAGGTCCAGGTCACCCAGATTCCTCAGATGAACAGAGTTCTGAAGACGCAGTGAAGCTTCCAGGAAGTGTGAAGAAGCGCCACAGGAACCCGTCCTGCAAAGAATTCGCTCTGCTCAGCAGAACCCTTCCTCCCCTCAGAGAGGTTACAGTTCTCCTCCCGAGCGCCGCCACGAGCCAGACGGTCCGAATGGGCCCGACCTGCTCAGGGCCCAGCTGCTCCACCACCGCTCTCAGCACATGGAGATGGTGACGTTGATGCCCAGGTTCCCGTTGTCGGCGAACAGGTGAGCGATGGAGGTATCGAACACCAGGCAGTCGCTGTTGACGATGGCGGCTGCCACCCCGTCGTGGATGGAGCGGGGTGTGGCCTCCCAGGTGAGGCGACGCCGGTTCCCGTTGAGTTCCAGGCGGTAGGCGAAGTTCTCAGCCTGCTTCCTGGTGCCGATGAGCAGCACCACGGCGAAGAACTGCTGGTGACCCTCGTACTTCTCCTGCTTCTCCAGAACCAGCATGAAGTGATGGCTGAAGCACGACTGCATCATGACCCAGTCCACGGCGCCAGGCAGGTTGATGTCCGTCGCTAGGAACACGATGTCCTCCCCCTGCAGGCAGCCAGAGGTTAGAACAAGTTCCAGACTGGATCATATGTTGGTTCTGACCCATGTGTGTGTTGGTTCTGACCTGCAGCGTGGTAATGGACTTGTGAGCGTGCATCAGGTGGGGCATGACGGCCTCCAGCGGTCCGGCCCACTTGCAGGTGGCCCCCGGACAGGGACAGGTGTAGGGCCTGAACTCGCAGACCTCCTCATGCTCTGGTTTCTCACTGTGGTGCAGAGACAGCAGGCAGCCGGCGGAGGAGTACTGCAGGGGAAAGAACACGGTTACAGAACCAGAACCTGGACCGGCCCAAAAACACCTCCTCCTCCAGACCAGAACCACCTCCACATGAAGCTCTGCTCCCTCATGGAGGCGGAGCCTGAGGAGCAGAAGGCAGCTGCTTTATCACTCATTAATCTGCCAATAATTTAGCTCCAAATTAATGAAGAGCACCGTTTCCATGGAAACGCTCCTGATCATTAAACCAGCTGAGGAATAAAAGATGATGAACAGCAGGGGGCAGCAAAGCTGCAGAAGCAAAGGAACCGGAAAAACTATTCTAAACTTTGGAAGCAGGAGGTGGGCTCCAGATGGAGGTCCTGGTCCGGTTCTGTCCCAGCAGAACCTCAGGCCTTCCAGCTGAGAACAGCTGCTCCTTCAGACGCTTAAAATACTTTTGAAATGCTGGTGAAGATTCTCAGTCATCCAGGTCATTCAGAAAAAGTAAAAAAAAAAAAAAAAAAACGACTAGACTTTTTTTTTTTTTTTTCCCAATCAGGAAGTTTATTCAAGTTTGATATTTTGAATTTAATAAGCTTCCTGGGTGGGAAGAGAAACGTCTTCAAACTTGGAAACAAAGTCCTGTCGTTTGTTTTTCAACTTTTTTGGAATACTTTTAAAACTTTGGGTCTCCAGGTTCTCTCCGGGTTCTGCTGCAGTAAAATGGGTCAGGACTGCAGGTCCGACTGTCCCCTCCTGTTTGGGATGCGCTCTGACAGCAGGTCTGACCCGTTTGACCACAATCCATGTTGTGGATGTGGACGGTCCAGATGTGTGACCCAGAACTGCTGACTCAGCTCCTGGAGAAGATGTCCTGGTTCTGGTGGCTCTACCAGCCAAAGGTGGGTACTCGAGTTTGTGACTCGTACTCGAGTCGCACTTAAGTCGCATATTTAATGACTTCAGACTCGACTTAGACTTGCATTTGAAGGACTTCAGACTCGTCCGAGACTCGCAATTTCCGACTTCTGAACTATATATATATTTTTAAGCGTTTTTTGTTTTACTAACTTGACTGATCACCGCTCGCCTTACTTGCACACAGCAGAGGTAAAAAAAAAAAAAAAAACGGCAGAGGGGCTTTCAAACAGTCATGTAGCAGTTTAAGATAATGATCATTCCATAGATTTAATAGTGACCTTTAAGCTATACCATCTCAGTGAAGGAGATAAAAACACAAGGAGAAACAAGCAAGCACGCAAATAGACTTGAGACTTGACTTGGACTTAAGCTCTCAAGACTTCAAACTTGACTTGGACTTGCAAAAAATGACTTGTGAACATGTCTGCTACCAGCTGGTGACATTCTGCTCTGCATCTTCTGATGTTTCTCTGAGGAACCATAGAGTCTAGTGGCTCTTCAGGTTCTGACTCGGTTCCTGTCAAGTCTCTGATCAAATATAGAAAAGACCTATCAGAGAAAAGCGCTGATTCTGACGGACAAGAACCGAACACAGATGGGTATGGATTAAAGATCCAGCTCTAGATGCGGTTCTGTTTAGTTGGTCTGTGGCTGAGGAGCATTTGGACCATCTGAGGGTCCATCGTTCCCCATTAAGACAACTGGGTTAAGCTGGAGAAGAAGTCACAGTAGAAGAAGTCCAGCGGTCCTCATGAGGATGTTCAGTCGTCACTGAGCCCTATGAGCCCAGTCTGATAAACTAGATCTATAGAAGGAGCCAGCAGAACCTCCCACCCCTGGCTGTGCCAGGGACAGACCCTGATCTGGACCCTGATCCGGTTCTATAGGCCGAGACTATCAGATAATGGCTAAAAGAAATCATGAAGGTTAGACGAGCTGTACGCTACCGTTCAAGCATTCCAGAGACGTAAATTAGATTTTACCAACCCAATGACAGGAAGTCACACAGACCGAGAACAAAGAAAGGTCAAAGTCAAGGTGCGACCTCTGGTGGTCAACCCAGGAACAGGTTTGCTAAAAATATAAAAACTGTATTAGTAGTATTTACTGACGCAAACGTTTCATTTATCAGAACCACTGAGGTCCAAAACCTGTTCAGAAGACATTGACAGTCAGTTTCTTTAAGGATGTTTGTTAGCTAAAGAGCTAGCCAACAGAGTGCAGCACCCTAGGGGCTCACTATGGAGCGCCATCAGAGATCCTAACTCCCAGCATCGGTCAGACTTTAGAACCATTACTGGAACCAGTGGAACCACCACTCAGACTCTCCAAATGCTCCGCATCTCTGCTGGTGTTTGTAGCTCTTTCACTCTTCATAAAGTCTCTTGCTGTTTTTCATAAACAAATAATCTGCAGTTACTCTATATAAAACTAGGTCAAAAGAAGCTTTGGTCGTTTCTTCTAAAATTTAAACTGTTTTTCTCTCCTTACGCTTTGATTTTATCCACCGAGTTCTACTAGACTATACTGCACTATTAAAAAACCAGAGCAGAAGATCCAAACCAGGTAAAAATCTGATGGACCCACGACTGGCAGATTCAGTCCATTGATGTCGTCTGCAGGATTATGATGAGATGATGTCATGAAGCCCAGAGGAGAAGTTGAGTAGGAGCTTCTGGCTCTCGGTAAACAAACCAGTCTGCTGCTGGTTCTCCTGGTTTTGGACCACAGCCTTGCAAACAGAGGAAGGATTCCTCCGGTTTCATTTCAAACCAGAGCGACATAAAGGCAGCAAGAACCCAGGAATCCGATAGAAGGAATCTAGAAGCTGGAAACATGCAGTGAGGAGGTTTAGAACCTCCATCCTGACGGAGCAGCCATCCCAATCAAAGAGAAAACTGATAGCAGCTCTAAAACACAGACAGATGAGGTCAGAGAATGGATCTCTGGTTGGTTCTGAGCAGCAAGCAGCAGAAAGAAAACCAAGGAGCAGGTTAGGAGTCAGGTTTCAGCCGCAGAAGAACCCGACACCTGGGGAGTGTTTGAGGAGATCAGATCAACAGGAAGCAGCAGAGATCAAAGGCAGTCAGGCTAAAAGGCCCAATGGTTAAAAGCTGGTTATCGTGGTGGCTGCTGGGGAACTGGCCCGATGCTGGTTAACGGGCTGGACACTGGCTGAAGGGCCGGATGCTAGGAAACGGGGCGGACGCTGGGAAACGGTGGGGAGGCTGGGAAACGGGGCGGACGCTGGGAAACGGCGGGGAGGCTGGGAAACGGGGCGGACGCTGGGAAACGGCGGGGAGGCTGGGAAACGGGGCGGACGCTGGGAAACGGCGGGGAGGCTGGGAAACGGAGTGGCTGCTGGATAAAGGGGCGGCAGCTGGGTAACGGTGTGGAATGGGGACGGAAGCTGGGTAACCGCACCTAATTGGAAACGGGGCGGACGCTGGGTAACAGGGTAGGCGCTGGGTAACGGCGACTAATTGGAAACGGGGCGGACGCCGGGTAAAGGGGCGGATGCCGGATAACGGGGAGGATGCTGGATAACGGGACGGATGCTGGATAACGGGGAGGATGCTGGATAACGGGGAGGATGCTGGGTAACGGGGAGGATGCTGGGTAACGGGGAGGATGCTGGGTAACGGGGAGGATGCTGGATAACGGGACGGATGCTGGGTAACTGGTTTAGCTCTCAGTTTTCAGGACTTTCAAGCAATCAGTGGCATTGATAATCTTTGTGTTTATGGACCGTTTCTGTCCCGACGGCGCTGGATGGACCGGGTCCATAATGGCGGAGCCAGCCCAGCAGGAAAGGCAGGCAGGGTGTGGGGCAGAACATGGAGACTCGATAGAGCTGCAACGACGAGCCGACCAGCTGATTATTACAGAACCAACAGCTGCTGCAATGTTCTAACTGCCACAGAAAAGAAGAGAACTGGGTTCTGGAAGAAGAAATTTCTTTTCCTAAAGCCTCCAAGCAGGACAGGAAGAACCGGATCAGATCCCCACCAGGTACTAATCTCCCAGTAAATGGACCAGAACTCAGGTCTTGTCCTCTCTGACATGATGAGACCACATCCTCTGCTGCTGCAGAACCAGCCCCATCATCAGCCCACCACCACTGTGCTTCAGAGAGGGATAATGTCCAATTTGTTCTAGATGTCTCAGACCGGGATCCAGACCCACCAAACCTGATTTAAAACATTTATAAATTACTGCATTTTGTCTGACGACTGTGTCTAACTTCACTTGCGCCGCTTCTCCTGTTAATATGGTAAAGCGGTCCAGAGCGTCCAGCACCAGGCTGCATGCGACACTAATTAGCCAATGAGCTGCTGTCAGTCTGGGTTGCTGCTGCTGCTACTTTTAGAAACAGCAGGCAAACCTGTGGCAAGCCGGGCGATGGGAGAGAAGGAAAAGATGATGAGAAAAAGAGAGCAGAGAAAGTGTGGACTGCTGGGTGAACTGGTGAAAGAAAGTGAAATGATGCTCAAAGATGACCCTGAACATTTAAAGGATGTTTGGCTCAACCTGATGCTGTGAAGCAGGATTCTCCACCATGAACAGCATCAGAAATAAATATGGACCCAGGCTCAGAATGAGCTCCTTGATTTGTGCTTTAGAACGGCTTAGTCTCCATTAAACCCAGGTTTAAAGCCTTGCAGGGCAGCATAAAGCCCACTGCCAACATTAAGACATGAAAAAGAAAAAAAAACAACTGTCAGTTCAGGTGTTTTATAAAATATGTGAATCCTGGTTCTGATGGAAGTTCTGGTCAGGAAAAGATCCAGATGAGACTCACAGAACCACATGAGGAAACATCTGGTCCATCATCAGACATTCTGACCCAGTGGAGCCTTCAGGTCTGATCCACTTCCTGCTGGGAGCAGAACCGTGGCCCGGATGCTTCCAGAACCCTGAGCTGCTCCCAGGTTCTCCTTCTCTGGTGATACTTCTGAACCCAAACAGTTTGGATCAGAACCTTCTGGGCTCAGCTTTCAGTTCAGTCCATTTCACTTTTAAGGAGTCTGGAACAGAACCAGAACCTGCTGACTGGGTCAAACTGGACCAGTATAACTTCATCTGCAGCTTCGGGTCAGAACCAAACAGGAAGGACCCAGAGAGCTGGAGTTCTGGCCCCTGGGGATCCGCCAGAACCAGAAACCCAGATGAGTCCTGATAGCATCATGTTCCGAGGAAGGAGAACATCATCTTCATCACCTGAGCAACGAACAGGTGCAAGTTCTGGATCAGAACCGGACGGATCCAAACTACAGCTTTGTTTTGGATCAGACGGAATCCCCATGACGTCACCTGACACGAGCGCATGTACGAGGAAGTCGCGTGCGAAGTGAGCGGTGTTTCCGTGGCGGACCGGTTCTGGTCGCGGTCCCGGTTCTGGTTCCTACCTTGCAGGGGAAGGGCAGCGTGGAGGCCACCCTCTCCATGGCCAGGTTCCGGATGCTGGGGCTAAGCGGGCCGCGGCAGGTCGGGCAGCAGCTCAGCTTCTGGCGGCACTGGTTGCAGACCAGGTGACCCGCCTGGCACTGCAGGATGGGCGGCAGCACGTAGTCGAAGCACACCGGGCACTCGAACAGAGCCGTCAGCTCCGGGGCCGGTCCGGGAACCCCGGCAGAAGGGGGCAGGGAGCCGGCGGGGGACGGAGCCACCGAACCTGACCCGGTGACGGTAGCCTGGACACCGGCGGCCCCGTGCTTCCCCCCGCCTGCCTTACCGGCCCCCAGCCCCCCTCCTCCGGCTGAGGACGGGCGGCTCATGGCTGTCTGCTGAGGTCCGGTCCAGTCAGCGGCCCAGCAGGCGGTACAATCATTTACTGTTTACAACCCGGACGTCCCTCCGGGCCGCAGAGATCCAACATGGCGGCCACTAGTTTGTATTCGTTTGCGTCCCTGACCGCGGGCTCCCATTGGCTGGTTCAGGTTGGAGTGACAGGTTGTCAGCCAATCAGAGAGGAGGGGCGAAACATTACATAATGTTCCAAAGTGAAACAAACAGAAAAACTTCATTAAACTAATGAAATGGTTGGTTTCTCATCAAACATCTGAGCTAAAAACAATAAATAAACACATTTAACGGAAACTTTAGCTCAATAATGAAAAAAAAATGCTGATTATTTTGCATTTTTTATGATTCATATAAACTTCATTGATTCCAAAGAAAGTGAAATGTTGCTGTAAGTCAGATTAGTCAGATGTTTCCAAAGAGTGGGTTTAGATACTGAAGAATGAGGGAGATCTCCTGCAGACAGGGGCAGCTCTGACCTCAGTGTGATCATCTGGGTGGTCCTTCATGGTGAGAACAATTCTGTCCACATGCTGAATACATATCGGAAAGCATGTCCATGTTATGGTGTCAAAAGTTAAAAACATGACATAGAAAGGGAGGGGGGGGATTTACCATTATGCCATACTAGGCAGTTGCCTAGGGCCCCAAGTTCCTGGCGGGCTCCACAAAACTCTGTTTACATGTATCGTTAATAAAACTATTCCTTATTATTATAATTATGTTTTTGATAAAAATATTTTTGCTAAAATGCCATCAGAACGCTTATAATAATAAGTGTGTCTCAGCCCCCCCCCCTTCAGTGTCCACCATATTGGATCAGTCCATGTGCTGCACATGTTCAGAAAGGTCCAAACAGATGCAAAGAGCAGTGTTGCCAACTTAGCGCTTTAGTCGCTATATTTAGCCACTTTTCAGACCCCTCTANCATCCAAATGAAAAATGGATAACAGATAAGCAGATCATGGCTTGTCTACAGTGAAAAGAAGGACTGGGTTATTTACTTTGGCCTTTTTGGAAACAAAACACAGAACAATCTATTAGCGTTTACTGATGTTAACCCTCTGATAACTATGGTGTTTTCCTGTTGCCTGGCCTGGTTGATAGATGTAAACGCTCAGCTCTGGGAACTTTCTGGCCTAGTTGTTTGGCCTCTGTGTTATTTACGGACACACAATAGGCTCATTGAATGGTACCGCTTCCCTGACAGACTATATTAAATCTTGGTATTTCAATAAAATGGCCACTAGGGGCCCGGCTGTGAGATTCAGTTAGAACCAAAAGTTCTCCTCTTTCCGCTAGAGTCAGTGAGATCCGAAAGTTCTCTTGGTTCTGTTAGAGTCTGCAAGACCAGAAGTTTATTCTTGTTCCAGTCAGTGAGACCCAACAGCTCTCCCAGTTCCATCAGTGTCAGTGAGACTCGAAAGTTTTCCCAACTCCATTAGAGTCAGTGGGACTCGAAAGTTCTCCTAGTTCTGCTAGAGTCAGGGAGACTCAAAAATTATCCTGGCTCTGTTAGAGTCAGTGAGACCTGAAAGTTCTCCTGGTTCTATTAGAGTCAGGGAGATCCGAAAGTTCCTCTGGTTCTGTTAGAGTCAGTGAGACCTGAATGTTCTCCTGGCTCTATTAGAGTCAGTCAGACCCAAAAGTTCTTCTGGTTCCACAAGAGTAAATGAGACCCAAAGGTTCTCCTTGTTCTGTTAGAGTCAGTGAGACCTGGAAGTTCTCCTAGCTCCGTTAGAGTCAGTGAGACACAACAGCTCTCCCGGTTCCATCAGTGTCAGTGAGACCCAAAAGTTCTCCCGGTTCCATCAGAGTCACGGGGACCAAAAGATGCTCCTGGCTCCATTGGAGTCATTGAGAGCCGAAAATTATCCTGGCTCTGTTAGCATCACTGAGATCTGAAGGTTCTCCTGACTCTATTACAGTCAGTGAGACCAAAAAGTCTCCTGGTTCTGTTAAAGTCAGGGAGACCCGGAAGGTCTCCTAGCTCCATTAGAGTCAGTGACACCTGAAAGTTCTCCTTGTTCTGTTAGAGTCAGTGAGACCCAAAAGTTCCTCTGGTTCTGTTAGAGTCAGTGAGACCCAAATCTTGTCCTTAATCCATTAAAGTAATTGAGACTCGAAAGTTCTTCCTGACTCCATTAGAGTCAGTGGAACTTGAAAGTTCTCCTGGTTCTGCTAGAGTCAGGGAGACCCGAAAATTATCCTGGCTCTGTTAGAGTCAGTGAGACCTGAAAGTTCTCCTAGTTCTATTAGAGTCAGTGAGATCCGAAAGTTCTCCTGGTTCTGTTAGAGTCAGTGAGACCTGTATGTTCTCCTGGCTCTATTAGAGTCAGTCAGACCCAAAAGTTCTTCTGGTTCCATGAGAGTAAGTGAGACCCAAAGGTTCTCCTTGTTCTGTTAGAGTCAATGAAACCCGGAAGTTCTCCTAGCTCCATTAGAGTCAGGGAGACCCGAAAATTCTCCCTGGTTCTGTTAGAGTCAGTGAGACCCGAAAGTTCTCCTGCTTCTATTAGAGTCAGTGAGACCCAAAAGTTCCTCTGGTTCTGTTAGAGTCAGTTAGACCCGAATCTTCTCCTTAATCCTTTAAAGTCATTGAGACTTGAAAGTTCTCATGACTCCATTAGAGTCAGTGGGACTTGAAAGTTCTCCTAGTTCTGCTAGAGTCAGGGAGACCCGAAAGTTCTCTTTGCTCAATTAGAGTCAGGGAGACCCGAAAGTTCTCCTATTTCTGTTAGAGTCAGTGAGACCCAAAGGTTTGGTCCAAATGGGACTTACCTTTTTTAACTTGCTGTGAGTCAGTAGATATGACCCGAACCAGAGGTTCTGCTCAGTGGGCCTGTGTCAGGGATCCGTCCTGCAGAGTGAGCGCTCCTGTCTGCAGCTTCTATCTGTGACTGTTTGGAGTTTTCTCCTAACATGGTGTTCAGCCATCGGAGCACTAAGTGCCCGTCATACCTCCAAACCGCTGCAGAGAAGCTCACACCTCCATCAGCACCAGCCCCTCCCCCTCAGCCTCTCTCCACCGCTCAGGTTGGATTGGGCTGCCAGAACCTCCGCTTGCTCATCGGGTCAGTAACAGGATGGAGCTCCGCTGCAGAACCTCAGTCGTCCTGCTACTTCTTCTGTTACCAGGTAAGATTGGTACAGGATTTTCCAAAAACAGTTTGATTTGAACTATAGCCTGACCAGAACCATCTGTAAGTTCTTCAAACCTCTGGATCTCAGCTGGTTCTTCTTCAGATTCTATCATGTTGATTTGATGGATGTGTTGTTGTAGGGGTGGGGTGGGGGGGTGACTGATATGCAGAGCTTTTCTGTTCTATTCACTTCTGCTGCAGTTTTTCAGTAAGAATGTAACAGAACCAACCAGAACCGCTTCATAATAGGAAATAATTGGATCAGGTTCTGACCTAAATCCTAAAGTTCGGACTACAAACAGAACTTTTGCAGAATTTGTGGCTGAGCAAACATCTACCTGGTTCTGTTACCCAACCTCCATCTTCTGAAACATCAGAGCAGATGACTGCCATCAGATAAACTGAAGGCAGTTGATTTCCTGTCTGGTTCTGGTTCTGATGGATCACTCCTTCTCTTCTGGACCTGGATTTTTCACATAGCAGAGCTTCCTGATTTCAGTGTGACCTTCACGGCGGGTTTGAAGCAGAAGGTGTCCATCAGGATGTGACCGATAGTATGGTTCTGGCTCAGTCCAGATTCGGACCTTTTGGGCCACTGCGCCACTGGTTCGTTTCATAGACCAACTGTGGGACCAGAGCAGCAAACATTAAACATTGAAAACAGTAATGATTGAAGAGGCTTTCTTCAGATCTCAGTCTGGACTCCAAATAATTAAGCTTTCAGTCTTTTTCTGAGCAGAGTGAACCAAAGCCCGGTTCTGTACGGGAACTGGACCCAAGAGCAATAAATTGTAATTTGTACATGGAGAATGAGAGTCAGAACTTCTGTGAGTGATTAATGACAGATGCAGGACGACAGGAGGAGGCATTATGGGTAAAATGGACAAGGGTCCCAGCCAGTGGCAGACTCAGGGGCCGCAGGTAAAGTTCAGTCAGGGGCCTCCACTAAGTCAGCCTCCGTATCCCAGTCGGCCCTGAGTGACAGATTAGGAGGGGCTGCCAGTGTTCAGAGCAATACTATAAACCGTGCTGTTCCTCATTAATAACAGACATACATGTTGGTTTGGAGGGAGCTGACATTTCCAGGACTCTCTATCTTTATTTTAGTTTTTGCTTATCAGTGTTAATATTTCAGTTATTAAGAACTGTTTACATAAAATCATATTAATGTTTTAATACTGACAGCAGCCATGATGATCTAAAGAACCTTTGCATATGTTTCTTTACTCTAAAGGTAAATCGCTATCTTTGTTCGGGGTTGATCCATTTCTTTCTGTTCCTGTTCCAAAGTCAAACCAGGCTCCATCTCTGCTCTGAAATCAGACGTGTTCTCCTGCTGCAGTTATTTTGTTCTTATTGTTTTTATTTCTGCTGTGGACGTGGCAGGCCGACATCCCTGGCCTGAACAGCTGATCTGCTCCTTAGAAATCAGACAGGCTGCTAGTTTATCCCTGCGTGTCGTAGCCAGGGGCGGATTTAGGAAATTTGGGGCCCTAGGCAAAGACGGACAAGTGGCCCACTGAATTAAAAAGACAACACATAAAACAGACCCATTATACAGATAGACATTTTAATAAATACACATACATTATTTGTTATGTTTTGTCCCTCTGTTCTTGTCCCTTTTTCTTATTGTTTTACTCTCTATGTTTTGTATTCAGCTGGTTTTCTATGCCGTCTCAAAAGGAATGAAAGATTTTTTCCAAGCACTAAACTCACTTAGCCGATTGCTGCTTCCTGTGTTTCCAAAAACTTGACGGCAAAAGTAAATAACTGAGTCCTTCCTTTTACTAGACAAGCAATGATCTGCTTATCTGTTCTCCATTTTTCATTTGAATGAAATAATAGCTGCATGAATCATGATAACAGACAAGATAGAGGAGAGCAAGAGGCGGGGTTACCAATCTACTTGCTCTGGAGAGCAGAGTTTGGTTTTATGTTTTCTCCAAAGTCTCCAGTAGCAGAAAAAAGTTGATAGATTTGGCTCTAGGCGTTTTTTTTGCATGAAGCATTCTGATGGCTTTTTAGCTAAAGTATTTTTTTACCGTACCATACCATACCAACTTTATTTATGAAGCACTTTATGCACCGGACCAAAGTGCTGTACACAATCATAAAATACAATAAAATTATAAAATAGGAAAAAAAAACGAGTGTAAAATACTTATTAGTATACAAATAGAATAAAACAAAATTAATGTGCACAAACAAGGAACAGTTGTATTAACCATAAAGGTAAACAGAGTTTTATGGGGCTCCCAGGAACTTGGGGCCCTAGCCAACTGCCTAGTATTGCCTAATGGTAAATCCCCCCCTGGTCGTAGCTCCAGTCCCAGTGCCGTATTGGCGCAGCTACCATCTTGTTTTTCTTCCCATTCATTGTCAGGTTGTGGCGGAGCAGGTAGCGATTATATGAAAGCTGAGACACGAAGAGCTGGCAGCAACGAACATCAAGCTATGCACCGGTGTCATCAGACAAACAGACTACAGCAACAAAGTTTACAACATATTTCTACAACTCCTCATCTTCAGCTGTGTTCAGATGAAGGTTGGAGCCGTTCTGGTCCCCCTAGACCCAGGGACAATAAGGGACAGTGTCTCTAAGCCCCCTGAGGGAGAGTGTCTCACATCCACTGAGGGAGAGTGTCTCCAAGCCCCCTGAAGGACAGCATCTCCACATCTGCTGAGGGACAGTGTCTTCAATGCCCCTGAGGGAGAGCATCTCCATGTCCTCTCAGGGACAGTAACTCCACACCCCATGAGGGACAGAGACAACACGCTCGCTGAGGGACAGCGTTTCCAGGTCTTATAAGAGACAGTGTCAACATGTCCCCTGAGGAACAGCATCTCTAAGCCCCCTGAGGAACAGTGTCTCCACATCCCATGAGGGCCCACCCATCATCTCAGCAGAACCAGTCCTGTGTCCAACCCTGACTGGGTCTAACTTGTTGAATCTGTTTGGATGACAAGGATGAAAATCTTTGCTTTGTTTAATCTTAATATTTATGTGAAATGCATTTAGTTTGTTATGCTGTTCTCTTAACAAAACATCCTCTATAAACATGAGATATTTTATTGAATTCAGACAAAAAACAGCAGCTGGACAAGAGAAGCAAAGAGTGTCAGTCAGACCTTCTGGGTTCATTTCTGCACTTCTGTTTGGACAGCGTTGATCTGGCTTCTGTTTCTGTTCTTCAGGCCAGATAAAGCATCTCTAAACATTAATGAATATTTATAATTCCTGTGATAAAAATACATGTTTGACCAAATGATTTGCTTAACGACCAGAACTCGGCTACAAATGGAAAGACTCAAGACTTTTTTGTGACTCTAAGATGAGAACCTTGGCTCTGGGTTTGGGTTCAACCCGTCGCAGCAGAACCGTTTCACTAGAATTACCATATGAGGAAGAATCAGACTCTCCTGTTCATCAGTCATAAGGATCAGAACACTGAGAGCTGGGAGGAAACGTGGATCAGGCCCGGTCTGGTCTGAGCAAAAGGTGCTGCTGCACACAATGTCCTCATCAACACCGGCCTGGAACAGATGTTCTCAGAAGATAACAGACTATGAAGAACATCTCTCCATCCATCATTAACTAAGCAACACATTAAGTAACAGAATAATTCTGGTCCAACACCTTGTTAGGGTTCTGGATCAGCCCATCTGCAGGCAAACAGAGGAGGGAGGGGTCTGTCTGCGGCAGAGGAGCATCGACGCCGCTGCAGCTGTTGATGCAGAGATTAGAACCGGTTCTGAAACGGGACCAGAACAGAACCAGTGACTTAGAACAGTTCTATTGTTAAAAATTAATTAAAAACCCGTGTCTCAGCTAAGCTGCAGGTCTAAAATATACCCGAGCATCATTTACTAGGAAGAACCAACTTTGGACCAAAGCCGAGTCAGTCAGAACCTCTGTCCTCTGAAAGGTTCAGGCTGTTCTGCAGCTGAACCTTCAGCTCTTCATGGATTTCCTTCCTGATTAATGAACCTGCACCGTTTCCCTTCTTACTTATATGGTCACTGGGCTGCAGTGTTTTCTGAGGGTGAAGGCAGCATTGGACATGATGGAGGACGGGAGACAGAACAGATCCAGCTGGTTCTGATTTATCACCTGCAGGGTTTCATGCAGCTCGGACCAGATTGGACTTTCTGTGGGAGGGACGTCAGCTGCAGCTTCAGTTTGTCCAACAGACTCGTTCTAAACTTTCACTCCACCATCTGTGTATAATATACATCATATAAATCTGTTATGATTATAGAGCTTAATTATAGAGATGAATAATTGTTTCTAGTATCTTTATTTCAGACCTCTTTATATCACACTGCAAAAACAATGTAGAAAGAAGTAAAACATTCTTAAATTAAATGTATTTAGCCCTATTTTTAGATGATTTGCCAATGAAATTTGTATTTTTACTCTTTTAATAAGAAAATTAGATAATATGCTTTTGAAATAAGACAATACAATTACTTTTTCTTATTTTAAAATAGTTTAAATTGTCTGGTTCCATTGGGAAAGTGTCTAACTTACCTCCTAAATTCAAGAAAAAATGCCTTAATTTTAAGAAAAAAATTACTTATTGAGTTTTTATGTTTTGCAGTGCAGACTGATGAAACAATTGAAACATTAAAAATTGAAACGTTGCTATTTTATTTTTTAATCTGATTAAAGAATCTACAGGGATTGGACTCCCCTCTTTAAGAATAACAGGCAAACCGAACAGAAGATTCTATGATTTAAACCAAGCCTGTTCGGCCGCTTCCTAAATGTATTTATTATAAAGAACATCATAAAGGACTGATGTTGGAGTTTGAAGGACAAACACTCTCAGGTGCAGACATGTTTATGGATATTCCCCCCACTGAGAACCGGGTTCCAGAGCTTTCAGCAGAACCAGCGGTCTGCTCATCATGGACTGGACCGACGGGATTTAGAGGCCTTCTGAATCCGCCACTCTGAAGATGTTATGAAATGAGAGAGAGATCAGCAGGTTAATTGAGGAGGGAGATGAGCAGCAGCAGCAGCAGCAGCAGCAGGATGTGCAGAGGATTAACTGGAAGAAACGGATCAGAAAAGGACAAAAGCTTTTAATCCAACGCTTCGTGTTTGAAGAAGTAAATATGGGAGAATCATTTAACCTCATCAGAAACGTTCCTCCAGAGATCATCAGAGCTTCCTTTTGGGTTGATCCTGAGCTGCTGAGAAACTCTGACCTTAGTTTGGAGGGTGACCCTGTTGCTAGGGGCAACGCTGTTCTCTTGTTCTTGTTCTGAAATTGATGGAGGAAAAGGAACCAATCAGATTAATAGAAAGGTTGTCATGAAGATTAAATGATTGTCGAATCCTCAGCATCAACTATCTGAGGCTGATACAGCATCACCATGGTTCTGATCCAGTTATTGTTTTGGTCTAGTTTTTGTTCTGATTCAGTAATGGTTCTGTTTCCTCATCATGGTTCTGATCCATTATGGTTCTGATCCAGTAATGGTTCTGTTTCCTCATCATGGTTCTGATCCATTATGGTTCTGATCCAGTTATGGTTCTGTTTCCTCATCATGGTTCTGATCCATTATGGTTCT